GGTCCCAGATCAGATGTGCACACTGGAACTCTTTCCCATGTTGCTGTCTGTGTTTATTGTGCTGTGGTGTGGTGATATCTGTGCATTCCTGTATTATCCTTTTGTGTTGCACATTTCGATGTTTTTTTCCTCGCTACCTGGCCTGACCTGTCTCCCCAATGTGATGTTTGTATTGTATGTACGGTCGGCAAGGTCTGTCATCTCGGTTGTGGGCAAAAGACCTGCAGCTGACAAATAAAGGCTCTCTCATCTCATCTCATCTCATGTGCTCCTCCAGGAGGGGGGGCGAAATCCTGTGACCCCCCAGACTTATTCGCCACTTCAGCATGTTGTGCCTGCCAACACCCTCGGACACCAGCCTCAAACAGATCTTCAAAGTCAGGAGTCCTCCAAAATACTGACACACACACACACACACGTATGTACAGAAGTACATTTTAGGGAGTAGTGTTTACAGTTCAAAAGATATCATGTCCGTGCTTATTTATTATTAGTTTAAGTTAATCTTGATAGATTAAGAATTTCTATTGAGCAGTCTGTATGTGTTATATCCATGAACTTCTCTCTATGAGATGTTGCACTTACTTTAAATGTTTTAATTTTTCCATTTCCTGCTCTGCCAGTATATGTAATTTTCAGTATACACCTCATCATGCCCTCTCATTTCTGTTACAACCACTTTTCATACCCAACCTCCTTCCAGGCTACTGAATGGTTTCCTCTGAGTTTTCCCGGGCAGTGAAGGACTGTGCCGGACAGATTGTGCATGCAGCTGTGGAGATTTATAACTGTTTAAGTGTGGATCTGCTGCCCACCCCAGGAAGTCCCACTATGTTTTTAATCTCCAGGACCTCTCCAAGTGTGTCCAAGGTGAGTATTCCTTTGGTCTTTGGCTGCTTTTTCAGTCATTGGCAATCCAGTCCTTACAAACCTGAAGAACTAATCCTGAAGACTACTTTCAAAAACTGCAAGAAGCTTACCTAAATGTTCAGACTGTGTTGAAGAATAAAGATAGTCTTACCAAATGTTGATTTTCAAGCTTGTTGTGAGTATATAGATTCTCTCTGTTGCTTACCAGGCATACTGCAGTGTGAGCCAAGTCAAGTAAGAGACAAGACCCAGATCTTCCGCCTTTTCTGCCATGAATGCCAGCGCGTATTTCATGACCGACTCATCAACACCCAAGATAAGACCTACTTCAACACCATCATCTGTGAGATGGCCAGTAAGAACTCTCACAGTCCAGCCTCAGACTTTATTTTCTGAATGCTCAGTTAATTGTTATCAGCTCAAAATCTATATTTTGGCTTTATGGGTTTAAGATAGACCTCTCTCTTTTTTGCCAGGGCGATATTTTGACATCCACTTAGAGTCTTCACATTTTGTGTCTCATCCCATAATATTTGGGGACTTCATCAAGGTCAGGTTTTCCTCCAAGCAACTTATTTACAGGTCGACACAAAAATACTGCACATTATTTATTGATTTGCAGTTTTGTTCTGTGTCCACCTAATCATCCACATAGATGCATGCAGAAAAAGAAGATCGCCTGTATGAAGACCTGACAGACATGAATAAGATCCAGACTGTACTTCAGGACTATCTTGATGATTACAACATGACCTTCTCCAAGGAGATCAAGCTGGTTTTTTTCCAGGATGCCATTGAACATGTCTCCAGGTGAGTGAATTTAACTTGTTTTTGTGTAGTTTCTTAACAGGTAGTTGATTTATTTTAGCTGTAGTTGGGACAAACTGAGTCACCCAAAGGCAGTAGCAATACGAGTGATTGTGTTTTATTGGTTTTAAAATAGAACATGCAATGCCTGTGATATGGACTGTAAGGATCATTTATCCATAATAATAATTACTTGCATGTCTAATTAGTAGACATACCTTCCACATAAGTAAAATGCAGGCACTCTTTCTTATTTTAACGTCAGTAATAAAATTTAACTGCACAACAGTGATTTGATCTGATTATAGCTAGCAGTACATTTTCTAAATGACACGATGCATATGCCATATGGAACGAAATAATCTTATTATTTTTTTAGGATTGCTGGTATAATTCGCCAGGAGCGAGGCAATGCCTTGTTAGTCGGGGTGGGAGGTACAGGCAAGCAGTCACTCACTCGCTTGGCAGCCCACATGTGTGGGTGCCGCTGCTTTGAGATTGAGTTGAGCGGAGGGTACAACTATGACAGCTTCCATGAAGACTTGAGGAGGCTCTACAAGATGCTGGTGTGGAGGGCAAAGATATGGTGTTCCTCTTTACAGATACTCAGGTATTGCAAAAAGATTGAGCCACAAAAATACTTACAGTATTTAAGTTTCTGTGTACTTACTGTGTTTAACTATTAAATCTGTTGTAGATTGTAGTAGAAGAATTTTTGGAGGATTTAAACAACATGCTAAACTCTGGTGAGGTGCCTAACCTCTTTGAAAAAGACGAGCTAGAACAAGTGCTTGCTGCTACCCGCCCTAAAGCCAGAGAGGCTGGAATCAGTGAAGAGAGCAGGGATGAGGTATGTACGGTACTTATGTAAATACATAAGGTTTATAAAACATGTGTCATTTAAGCAGTAACTTTTAAATACAGCATATCTGCATTATTTGTCAGAAAATAAATGAATTAAAATTTTCTGTGAAAGTTAGGATAAAGTTACAGTTAGCAAAAATGAAAAATACAATCTCGACACAGAACTTTGTTTTGGATACGACCCAAAGTGTTTAACAAATTAGAATGTGGGACGAACGTGGAGTCACGAATGTTCATATCCTGGAAAGTGTTGTGGCTTTTCTTAAATGTAGGAAATCATTCTTTAACTACCAGATATAATCACTTAGTGTTTTCAGCGACAGTACATAGATCTTCAACAAGATAAAAAAAAATGAAATTAAACATTAATTTCTAATATGAGAGAAGGATGATGAAGCCTGACCTTTGAGTTGTTTAAAGAAGATAATAAACACCTAGCAAAGCATCTGAGATTCCCACTACGGGCTAAAATTTCCACAGACTGTATGAAAGCAGACAGTTAAAATCAGTGTCCAGGCAAAAGGAAAGAACACATGAGAGCTGATGCTATTTGCCTGTTGTGATCTTCTATGTGTGTGTGTCTTTTTTACGTGTCTGTGATGGTGCGTTCAGGTGTTCCAGTTTTTTATCTCCCGTGTTCAAGAAAAACGACACATTGTGCTGTGTATGAGCCCTGTGGGCGATGCTTTCAGGTCCCAATGTCGCATGTTTCCTTCACTGGTTCACTGCTGCACTATTGACTGGTTTATGCAGGTATGCTGATATATATGAATCACTCAGTATATACGTCACTACCCTTGTCGATGGAATCACTCTTGTTCATGTAAAATATTTCTAAAATAACCCTTTTTTTTATTTACACCACCGTCCCTTTAGATTGAATTCTTTTTCACAATCTATAGCTTTAAGGTAATCCTATTCATGTCCCTTTTTATAGAAAAAAAATAGTTTCATCATCGTCATGGAAGTTGTAGTTTATATTTTTTAAGCTTCTTTTGAACTTATTACTTTAAAAAAATCTTTTTACAATTTCTATTTTTAAATAAATGTTTTATGTCCATCTGCTGAATAACTGTTCAGTTGACAGGAGCTAAAGGTCAAAGCTACAAATCGTTGTCCTCGCTGCTAACTTTATGTCACTTTCCTCTCTTTCGCTGTACGTTCTGGTGCTCAGTGGCCCCGGGAGGCGCTGCTCTCTGTCTCTGAGGCCTTTTTCCAGAATGTGGACTTTGGCAATGAGAAGCTGAAGCAGAACATCTCTGCGATGTGTGTCGAGATACACGTTAGTGTCGCTGAAATGGCTGAGCGCTTCTACTTAGAGCTGAGACGCCAGTACTACACCACACCTACCTCCTATCTAGAGCTTATCAACCTCTACCTCAGCATGCTTGGCAACAAGAGACAGCAGTTAGTTCTGGTATGTCAACACAATTATGGGCGATTTTTCACATGTTGTTGATGATGAATCGTTACCTGATATTGTGTCGGAAAAATAGCAGCTAGAGACATTAGCTGGTGGTGAGTACTCATAGTCAGTTTTATTTTTACTGTGACTGTAATGCATCATGAGTTATGTCAATAATATCAAACATGATAATTATGTATGCGTGTGTTACTTTATAGGCCAGGGATCGTGTAAAGAATGGTGTCACTAAGCTGCTGGAGACCAATGAGCTTGTAGACTAAATGAAGGTGGACCTTTCTGCTCTGGAGCCAGTCCTCAAACAAAAATCTACTGATGTCGATGCCCTCATGGAGAAATTGGCTGTAGGTCAAGACAAGGCTGATGAGGTCTGTCTGTGTTTTATCACAAAACTTTCAAAAACGTGTCTGATGTTGCCTATATTTCAATTTTATTCTCTATTCTCTGTATGTCCTGTACATGTGGCAGAATTGACAATAAAGTTGACTTTGACTTTGACTTTGACTTTGAATTATAAATCATGGTAACTCTTTGTCATTACTTCATGAGCATAACTAAAATAATTCTCCTTGTCACAGGTACATAAAGTAGTAGAAGAAGATGAGGCGCTGGCCCGAGTTAAGGCTGAAGAAACCCAGGCCATTGCAGATGATGCACAGAGGGACTTAGATCAGGCTCTGCCAGCTTTAGAGAGTGCCAACCAGGCCCTCAGATCTCTTAACAGGGCTGACATCTCTGAGATCAAGATGTTCACTAAACCCCCAGCCCTGTGATGACTGTCATGGAGTCTGTCTGCATCTTGCTTGATTGCAAGTGAGTGTGCACTATTTTCTTAAAAAAATAATAGATAAATAAATAGCTTTTTAACATGTTACACTTTTATTAGGTATCCACCCTGCACTGGTGATGGTTTCTAAAACTCTTTATAATCACAATAATGTAATAACTTTATCACTCCTTCACTTCAACGGGACTATTTTTTCAATCTTATGTATTTTGCGTTTAACATTAAACAGAGATGACTTGCAGATTTCACCATTCACTAATCTACTGCATTGTTGATCTGAATTAAATCTTCACAATATCCTCTTTGGGATTTTGAAACTTGCTGTTCTGCCCAAAGAATTTTCATTACTTTGAAAAGCTCAACTAATGTCACGGTCTAATGTATCGAGCAACCGTGACATTTCCAGTGTTGGGAAGGTTACTTTTAAAATGTATTCCATTACAGAATACAGAATACATGCCCCAAAATGTATTCTGTAACGTATTCCGTTACGTTACTCAATGACAGTAACGTATTCTGAATACTTTGGATTACTTAA